GGTGCACACAGGTGTACACAGGTATGTCAATGGTAATTACAGGTATGTTAATGGTAATTACAGGTGTACACAGGTATGTCATTGGTAATTACAGGTGTACACAGGTATGTTAATGGTAATTACAGGTATGTCAGTGGTAATTACAGGTGTGTTGAGGGCAATTACAGGTGTACACAGGTGTGCACAGGTATGTTCATGGTGATTACAGGTATGTTCATGGTAATTACAGGTGTGTTGAGGGCAATTACAGGTGCACACAGGTGTACACAGGCATTTTGTCACCGACGGACAGGTTTGGATGTGTGTCTACATTTGCCACCTATAAACCGACCAAACATCAAACATCACCCTCTGTCCTCTCTCTCTCCCTCCCTCCTCCCACCCCTCCCTCCCTCCCAATTTTCTAACATAGGCACGCGTGCACACTCAGTCAATCTCCTACTTTCTGTACGAACAGTCTATGTATATAGATATATACATGCATAGATACGACATTATGTAGAGATAATATTCACATTTTTAAAAACTGGTGACAGTAATGTACTGATTGATGGTAGATTGATTGATAGATAATAGATGATTGATCGAATGATTGACTGATTGATGATTAATGACCTAGCCCTAACTGCACGACTAGCTTACTGACATGGACTGTTAGTCAGTAAGTAAAAAACATCATTAATTAATTAATTAATTACACTTAGATCGCAAGCATGACTAGTTCGCCCTCTCTGTCATTACTTTAACCATTATCATTAGCATCATCAACATCAACGTCATCACCATCACCATCGTCGTCGTCGCCGCTGCTGCTACCATCGTCATCATCATCGTCGTGTCATCACCATCGTCATAGTCATCATCGTCATCGTCATCCATCAATCGTCATCATCATCATCATCGTCACCATCATCATCGTGATCATCATCGTCATCATCATCATCATCATCATCATCATCGTCATCATCATCATCATCATCGTCATCATCATCATCATCATCATCATCGTCATCATCATCATCGTCATCATCATCATCATCATCATCACCATCATCATCAGCTTCACCATCGGTGGAGTAATCACCATTATTCTACCACCATTACATCTACTGACGCTGACTCTCGCAAATTCATTCTCGTCGTTGCATTCGAACAAACATATTTTCCCCACAAACACCTCTGCGCACTCCATCGTTGCCTATGACCGTTTGACCTATGACCTTTGACCCCGAGAGATCGCGCACCCCCGCCTCCCCGGAAACTCTAAATGCCTTCGTGCGACGTCACTCTCTGTCTCTCTCTCTCTCTCTCCCCCTCCCCCTCTCGTTTTCCTTCTCCATCTCTCTGTTTCCTTCTCTCTCTCTCCCTTTATCTCCATTTCTCTCTACTTCGCTCTCCTTCTCCATCTCTCTTTTTCCTTCTCTCACTCTCTCTCTCTTCTCTCACACTCTATCCTTCTCTCTCCCTCCCCTTCGCTCACACAAACACTCACTCTCTTTCTCTCCTTCTCTCTCTCCCTCCCTCCCCTTCTCTCTCTCCCTCCCTTTCTCTCTCTCTCTTCCTCACCTTCTCTCTCTCTCTCCCTCCCTCACCTTCTCTCTCTCTCTCCCTCCCCTTCTCTCTCTCCCTCCCTCAGTGAATAAGTAATACACATAAATACATCAGCTTACAACCAGTAGTGAATCTGTGTTTAAGTTTTGTTCGTTGTCAGTTTTAAACTAGGGATCACGCTTAAATTCATCGGCATCTCAAAACGACTTCAAATTACGAGGAGCGACGATTACGGAGAATGTTCGACCCAAAGCGTTGCTCTAAAACATACAAATATGCACCAAAGCGAACTAGACACGACTGCAGTTTGTTACACAGTATCACTACGATGATCTACAGTGATCGTAATTATTGCGAGAAATCTAATTAATCCACCAAGTTAATTAGTTCACCGCCAAGGAAATCACGTGAAAATCACAAAAAAGACCCTCCGCAACCCCCCCACACACACACACATGAACTTCTCCCAGTGTGAATGCCGAGCATCCCTCGCTCCTTGCTGCACGCTCTTGCCTCCCTCCCGCTCCTCTCTCCCATGCTTGCTTCTACCTCTCCTCTCTCCTTGCGTTCCTCCCTCCTTATTCGTCTACCGCTCCTTCCTCCTTCCGCTTTCTCGTCCTCCTGCTACTCCTTACTCTCTCCTTCCTTCTCTTGCTCCACCCTCTCACTCCTCCCTCCTTCCTTCTCTCGCTCCTCCCTCTCACTCCTCCCTCCTTCCTTCTCTTGCTCCTCCCTCTCACTCCTCCCTCCTTCCTTCTCTTGCTCCTCCCTCCTACTCCTCCTTCCTCCACCATCTCACTCCTCCTTCATCCACCCTCTCACTGCTCCTTCATCCTCCCTCTCACTCCTCTCTCCTTCCTTCTCTCACTCCTCTCTCCTTCCTTCTCTCACTCCTTCCTCCTTTCCACTCCTCGCTCCTCCCTCCCACTCCTCCTTCCTCCACCTCCTCCTCCCTCCACCTCGCTCCTTCCCGCCTCACAGTAGGAAGGGCAGGATGGCCTTGCGGCGGCGCGGGTAGGCGGGGAACTCTCGTCGGTAGTTGCGGTGCTTGCCGAGAGCCCACACGCTCATCTGGTAGAGACCGGCTGCAGTGAACAGCCCCGCTGTAACGAAGACAGACGCGCACGTGAGGAGACACGGTGACAGCAAGCGAAGGAGACACGGTGACAGTGAGCGAAGGAGACACGGTGACAGCGAGCGAAGGAGACACGGTGACAGCGAGCGAAGGAGACACGGTGACAG